ATTCTAACATAATATTAACTTTCCTCTTTAAGCTAGTTTTTTTTAATGAATTTTTGAATTACCCTTCCTTTCCTATTATGGACATCTTCTGAAGCCTGCCAATTGCACAATTTGTGAAAAATGTATTTTATTTTTCAAAAAAATAGTTTGATAAAAACTCTTGTCACAATTTTTTTTAAAGATAATCTGGATATTTCTTACTTAACGAGTCGATTATGCCAACTAGAGACAACAATGTGGTTGTCATTTTGTTTATTTTTAAAATATGCAGTAATCCCTCACTAATGTTCTGTAAATCAAATAAATTGATAATTAAACAATGAAAACATGTTTTGCCATTACTAATAAGGGAAATAGTTTTTATTTAAAACATATCACAACTGTATTTAGAAAAATTAAGTGAGTTAGCCAATATATTTATGTTCAGTGTTTGAATAGGATAAACATAGAAGCAATATTCAATAAAAAAAGATTTGAGTCATCAGGATATTTTTGATGCGATACCTTACCTTCATTGACATAATAGCTTCTTTCAACTTGTACTGCACTCTATATATGCAATTTTCACTCACCACTAGCCTTGATGCTCCCACCTACTCTCACATAATTTCTCATGGTGTACCTGTGCTGTAGCATGCAATTGAGCATGCAACAACTCTCCGCCAATTGGAGTTTGACACACTGTCCTAGTGTAGCTGATTCCCTCTGTACTGTAGAGCACTATCATCACTTCTAGATTTGGTATTTCAGTGTGCAGCCATGATCAGTTATTGCTATGTAGTTATGTTTCTCGTGTGCACTTTCGGTTAATTCTTATGTTTTTTGACAACTCTTAATTTGTTGTCATTTATTTGCTGCTGACTTAATATTTATGGAATATTTTTCTTTTTCATTTCCACAGAATATTACTATAATGCTTTCTGTTATGGATCCAGCCATTACTGATCTACTACCACATATTAATTCTGTGGCTTTGGATTTGACTTTTTGAAGAGGAGATTTTGGCCATGGTGCATCGTGAGTTGTAAACTATCTTGTGTCCTGCTATGTCTCAGAAACCTCAACTGAATTTTCCATTTCTGGGGAAATCTTTTCCCACCTCCAGCCTATCCTGCACCATCCTATTCTTTCCTACCCCTCTGGATTTCCTTCGTCTTCCTTCACTTTTTTTGGACTTGATTTCCCAGGTATGTAACCTATTATCTCTCATCCATCTATCTCCTTTTCAGGGTTATCCACAATTCCCCTGAGGTATTTTCAGCAGGTACTTGTACCCTTCTGTTTTCCTTGTTGGCATGCTTATCTTTCCCAGCTTAATCACTTCAAATGGCTCCTTTGTTGTTGGGATCTCCTTGGCAGGGACACCTTCTTGTCTTACATGTATCTACTTGCTTCCTGTTTGTGAGGCCTCCATCTGACCCCCTTTTTTTTTTATGAATGTCTATTTTTGGAGTCTTGGGTGGAGGCTGCCCATCAACATTTCTTCTTTATTTCTTTTCTTTCCAAAATCTCTCCTATCCTTGTTCTTATGTCTCCTTCCCCTGCATTCTCTCTACTATCAGTTCCTCCTTCCTGGATTTCTGCTGTGAGTTGCTAAATTGTCCATTTCTGTGTTTTCCAATGGCAGTTTCATTAGTGACTATCTTGTGGGTTCAGGCAATGTGAGGGCACAGTTAGCCAGATTTGTTCACTGCTGACCCCAGTGTTGTTCAGGTTCTAACATATGGACTATTCCTTTGATTTCTCCCCCCCTCATCTTTAAGATCAATTTCTTTCTTGCCTCCTGAGGATCCCATTTCATGTCAGTGTCTGTTGAAAGCAGTTCATAGTCTTTTGCATAAGGATGCTATTGAACAAGTATTTCCAATTCTTTGGGGTTTTTATTCCCAGGTCTTTGTGGTTCCCAAGAAAATTTGGGATTGGCATCGTGCCATTGATCTCTCCAACTTGAACTGCTTCATCATTTTCCCATGGTTCACCATGTAGTCTTCATTGGTCATTCACTCCAGGTCTTTGGATTACTAAGGTTGACATCTTGAATACTCACCTTCATATCCCTATCTTTCCTGCATCCAGATGATACCTTCAGTTTGTTCCTTTCGGTCTGGCATCAGCAACATATGTCTTCTGTCATGTGGTCAGAGCTTTGGCCACCATCTTCATGCTCAGGGTTTATGGTTTCATCATTATATGAATGACTGGCTCCTTTTAGCTCCATACCAACAAGTCTCTCACTAACATACCCATTTCCTCCTACAGGAGACAGCTTGTACAGGATGATTTGTCAAGTTAGAGAAGTCCTTTCTTACCCCCATGATATCTTATCCATTTGGGGGTATTTTTCAACACATACTTCAGTAGGGCTCATCTTTCTCTTCTTTGTCTGAAATCGATGAATCTCTTGGTTTACAAAGCCAAGTCCTTTCTTTCTCTACCTGTGTGTGAGTTTCTATCTCTTTTGGTGACATTGGCTTCCATGTATACCCTCATACCCTGGAGTCATGCACGTGTTGTATTCTGTGTGTGTTGCACAGTCAATGGAATCTCATTTGGGATTCTTTGGACTCTACCATACTCATTTCATAGGAGTTGACTTTGCCTGGTGACTCAACAGAGACAATACCTTGGCTGGAGTTCCTCTGCCTCTTCCCATCCCTCTGATTTGTGCTTTTCTTACAGATGCTTCTTTTACAAGGTTGGGAGCATATCTGAATCTTAGGAGATCTCCAGTCATTGGATGGTAGTTAATCTTCCCTCCACATTAACTTTTTGGAACTTTTATGAGTTCGTCGGGCCTTGGATTATTTCCTTCCTTTTGGTCATGATTCATTCTGACAGTTCAACTGTTTTCTCTTTTTCTGGGTCCAGTCTCAGCAAGTTTGTCTTCTTGCTTGTCATGTCCCATTTCAAGTGCTCTGAATCTTATAGCAGATATGTTATCTCATCCTAATACGATTTTACCTATGGAGTGATCTCTTGCTCCTCAAGTGTTTCAGTGGTTATGTTCCCTGTTTGGAACTTCTCTTCTGGATGCATTTGCCACCAGTCTCAATACCACACTGCTCCTCTTCTGGTCTCTAGTTCCATATCCTTTGGCTTTGGTGGGGATGCCTTCATTCAGAATTGAACCTGCACCAGACCATACCAATCATGGACTATTATGAGTAAAGCCATGTTGGGATCACTGTCCATCCCTCCAGTCTTAGTTGAATAAACTGGGACTGGTTTGCTTTTCAAAATAGGGTTTCATGGTCACCCATTGTGCTCTCTTATGGTGTTGCATTCTTTTCAATTTCCCAACATGTTGATCTTTCCTCTCCAAGTGGAGTATGGGTGTCCTTCCCACTTACCAGTTCCTAGCTGCTGGAGTGGTGGACCATGGAGGCTTCCTTTTGTGTGTGACTGATTCCACTCATTTGAGAGTAGGACAGTGGTGATCTGTTGGTGTAGATGGTGAATACTCTTCTCCTACTGTGGACTAGACAAATCCAACACATGCAGTTCACCTCTCTGGTTAGCTTTCTCCCACCCTACTGCTGCCTGGATGTCGGTTCCCAGGTTGTCTGGTACTGGATCAGTGCATGTGGTTGGTAGTAACCCTCCTCCTACCACAGATCAGATGATAAATTCCTGAAACTGCCTGGTTTTGGACTAGAGTTGACTCACCACATTTGCATGCTCCCTTCATACTGTCACCCAGATGTCAGTTCCTGGCAGATGTGGTGATGGTTGTTGGATGTGTACACATGATGTTGTGGGTCCTTGTTATGAAGGCTCCTCTTCTCTACCAATTACTATATCTGAGGTGAAAGTTAGAGGACCCTCTTTCTACTGGGGTCCCTCCTTTGATTTCACCCTTATTGCAACACATTTTTACATAGGCAAAGAGTATACCTGGTTCAGAAGTGGTGCGGTCTCCCACAGGTATGTTGCCTTCTGTTTATTCGCACACCCCATAGCCTTTCTTTGGCCACTTTCCAACAGGGGATCATCTTCTCACCAGATCCTCCACATACTCTGTGTGGGATTATAGCTATTTGTAAGCGGAGGTAAGATATTGTATCAGAAGTTAACATTTTCTTACACTGAAAATGTATTTCTGATAAGTACTTACCTCTTCTCACATTTCCCACCCAACTTCCCCCACTTCTGGTGCAGGTTCTGTATGTACTGCCAGATCTCAAAGTGATAACGAGCTGCAAGGAAGAGAGGGTGCTAGTTACGATAGAAGTTGTGTCACACTCCTATTGGCAGAGGGTTGTTACAGGATCATTTGCATGATAGCATCCAAATGTCTCACGTGAATACCTGTGAGGGTAGGTGGGAGTATCAAGGCTAATGGTGAGTGAAAATTTGCACCTATAGAGGGCAGTACAAGTTCAGAAAAGCTATTTGTGAGAGGAGGTAGGTATCTATTGGAAATATATTTTCAGTGTAGGAAAATGTTAACTTTTGATGAGTTAATTATTTATGTGACAGTTTAATTGTAATTTCAATTTTGTTGGAATAATTAAAAACAGTAATAATGAAACACTGATTTTGAATTGTTGATATTTTGTGATGTTAATTGATTTAATTGTAATCTCAGTTAATTGAATAGTTTGCCTGACATTAATCAATGTAATCACTTCTCACGGGTAATCAATTATATCACACACTCTAGTTCAGTTTTGTCAAGAAATGTCCAGCACCATAGGTAAAAAAAGCAAACAGCCCATTGCTGTGACACCTATTATTATTATTATATAAAAATTGCATATATGCCATATCTCATGCAGTTTATGAATCTCATCAAAGGCAAGAAGTCTCACATAGTTGGGGGTAAGGTAACAAGCAAATTTGATGTAAAGCTAAGAGGTAAAAAAATAATTCAGATTAGGAAATCTGTATTAAATTTTAAAAAGTCAGTAAAATCATATAACTTCAATAATTATTCCCCTCATTGCTAGTAAATATAATTTATCAGTATGACAGATCTCTTGCCTCATCTTACTTGTGACACTTTGGTCTGTTACAGTTTCATATGCATAAATATGTCAAATATTTATATTTTTTCAGTAAATTCAGTGTTGTAGCTATTACCACTACAACCACCCAACAACATAAAGAACTAACTAGAAATAGTTAATGTTATAATAACCACTGTGTATAGTCTTACTTTCATTAAGGTAAAAAGCATCTACCAGATATTAGCCCAGCTCACTAAGTAGTCTAAATCTCTGCAAAAACTACAGAATCTTTGGTGCACTTTAGAATGCCCATTACTTTAATATCAATTTCTAATTGAACTAATTTATTGGTTATTCTTTCATCAATGACCAAATGACTCCATCATCTTGAGCACACATTCTGAACTTTTACTGTCAGTTCATTTGCATTTTCTTCAACATAGACATCAGTGAATTGATTATTTTGAATTGAATCCAAGATTTGTGGATGCTTTTTTGTTTCATGTTATAGATGGTATAAGTGAATGAGGCATTTGATATCTTCAGTGGAGCCTGTTTTGTTTTTCTTTTCTGTTCATGGTACTCCTTAAGTTGGGTCAAGATACCTCTTTCTGATAACTCAAAACTAATTGGATAAAATAGGAAATTTTGTCATGGTAAGTTGCTTCATTAGCTTTAGAACTGGTACTTTCAGGTGTCTTTTATTTAATTTCTTTAAAGCATATGAGAAATAATAGCAAACTGAGTCTGATATGCTTTGCTCTGTATTTTAATGTCATGCCTTTATTTGTTTTTTATTTGGTGTGAGTAGATTGAGGTTTTTTTCAAGTGATAATTACAATCATATAGAATGTTATTGATTAAGTGATCATTGCAGTTCCAGAAAAATGTGCCTGCAGTTACTGAAAAAGTACTTGACTAGACCTCGTTTGTAAGCTGAGGAAATATAGGTGTTCTGATTGTCATACATGGAAGTTGGTCCTGAAATGAGTATGCTATGTCTGATTGATTCTGTAACTGGCCTTTTACATAACTGTTAATTTTGAAACCTTCTGTTTAAATTTTTTATCTCATCCTGAGGATCATTTTGGTTGATGGCAGCCTAGATTTGTGTAGTCTTTACCATAGCTGTAAGGCATCAGTAACACTGTATGTTCTTTTATATGACAATTATCTTAGTGCCTGTAGTATCTTCTACATGTTTGTTGGTTTCTTCATTAACCCTAGAATTATCAGTGTAGCCATCAGTTTTAAGTACTTTTTTTTCCCCTAATTTCACATTTTCAATGCTCGAAGATGTATGCCAATCTATATGGCCCATTACCAAAACTCAAACAAACATGTACAATGATGATTTGTACAGATTTTTTAATGACATTGTGGTTGTCATTTCAATTAAATATTTTCGAACTAAAGAAAAAGTTTGTTTTTAACATGATGTACTAAGCTATTTGCATCACAGGTTAATGACAAGTAATTTTGTAAATATTTGGGTGATGTTTAGTCATTGTAAAATAAATACAAGTTGTATAACTGTATATACCTATAAAGTAGGAATATTTAAAGCTAAATTTTAAAGTTATTAATTAGCTTTTGTAAAATAAAATGTTTCAACTTAGTACATATCATCTGTATTACAGTTGAATGTGTGAGATGACATGTTTTAAAACTGATTTTCACTCTTTTTCTAGGTGTCACTTTTTCTGAGCTCATGTACAGAAAATCCATGCAGTGCATATCTTTAAGTTGTATAGATAAGGGTTTGCTTCCTGGTTCTCAGAATCAACAGGTACTGTAAATACAACACAATATTTTTATATGATACTCAAAGTTTTATAAATAAAGGCTGTTTCTACATAATATGTAGTGAAAATAAAGCCATGGGAATAGGTTGAGGAAATTATATATAATATTATGTGCAACGATTAGTGTTTTGTATGCTTCTGTGTAGTTGTTGTTGATTTTGATAAATTTGCAAGAGCAAATTATATAAATTATATCTTCCATGTGTTCTGTTGATTTAAAAATGTTCTAAAAAACAACTTAAAACACCCTTAATTTTCACTCTAAATGTGTTCAGTATAAACATATCTGTATACCTTGTGCTTCATTACATCAAGTGAAAAACTCTGAGTATATCTAATCATTCTCTAGTTTTTTTTTAATGAAATACATTTGTCACTTTGAAACTTCTTGAAGTGTCTCTCTTTGGAAGAAACTAACTAAATGCAGTAGAGAGTTTATCACTTCTCTTTTGGCAGCATGTGTTTGGACGTGCTCGTTTGTTTGTTTAACGCTTCACGTTTGATTTCTTTTTCTTACAAAGTGATTGTTTTTTAAATTAATTTGCTTTCATTCAGCCTGTTTATTCTATTAGTATTTATCAGTTAATTCTAGTCGCTTTATTTTCTGCACTTGAATTTGGTAAACCTTCCTGTACAATGAATTCTGAAGTTAACGATACCACTTCGGGGGTTACACCAATGCCCAGTCTTTTTTCTCAGGCCTCAGGTGTGAGTGACCCGATGGCGGATTTATCTGCTTTTATATATGCCGGGAGATCAAACTTTACATGGAACAACCTTTGTCCTCCAGAACAGGCAGATCCTGGCATGCTGATGAAGGCTTCAATCTTCTATTTCCACCTCCAGATTTTGCCGTTCTTTCCCATTCCTAACCCAATGAGTTTACTAGGCCTAATGTAGTCTTTATGAATTTTGTGTCTCAGGCTTGTGATGTTTTATCCTTTTCCCCTATTTCTTATGCACCTTGTCATTCCTTATTGCATGAACAATCTTCCCAACTCATTTTGGTTTTTCCTCCCTCATGTGATATTCTGATGTATTTCCGATAGGTAATTACCTAACTTTGAGGTGATAATTCGATAGGGGAATGTAGAGGGAGTAAAATGCGTCACATATGTTGCCATATTGCTCAAACAGAATATTTCAAAGTAGCTCAAAATAGGTTGTTTATGCCTTCTGACAAATCTTTCTCCGTGGATCTTACTCCACCCACACTGATGAATGTAGCTGATCAGTGTTGTTTATTATAATTTACCTGTACACCTTCAATCCTTTAAGTAAAGTAGCAGTTTTTTCATGCATATCACAACCTTTATAGTGTTACATTCAAAGCTTAATTAAATAAGTTTATATCAGTACACTTGGATCTCATCAAAATGTAGTTTATAATTCCATTTTTCAGTTTTTTTTAATTTCTCAATTTAAAGAGTAAATATTTTAAAAATTCTAAATTTTTTTTTCTGTGTCACATGATGCTACTGTTCTTTGAATTCTTCACTTTAGATTTTCATAACTTCAATAATAAACTTCTACAATTTCCAATCAATGAGAAACACAAAATAAACTATATGCAACAAGAAAGAATGTGAAATTTGCTTCTTCCACCCTCTTGATTTGTTTAGATATCAATAAATTTATCAAACTAACCAGGAAACCACTTCCCATTTCTCTTTGTCTTTTGGGATTCATTGCTAATGTACTTCACATGGCTGATGTATATGTTTTTAACCAGTTGGAAGAGTGTAGTCTTCTTTACAGAAAGCTTGTTACAATTGTTAAATTTTGGTGCATGTGCGTATACTTTGGGGCATAGTTTCTTTGTCCGTGAACAGCTAATGGAATTTTTTTAACCAGTTTATAGCTTAGTTAGAAAATCAGTTAAATGATAGTAGTTTTGGTACATTCTGTTCTTGTAAGTAATATATGTTTGGTGTTTTACGGAAGCTACATTAAGTCTAGCACTCTTTTGCTAGCAAGTGCAAAATTCACATGCTGTTGTACTGTTTTCTAGAAACAGCTATTGGGCTCTCACTGTGATTCATTGTTTTTGATAGAAGGATAAAATACACTGGTCCCATGGTACAAATTCAGGCAATATAACCATAAATTTAAAAGAAAACAAATGTGAAAAGGTTAACAGATGAAATTGTGGAGATAATTAGTTTTATTATCTTGACAAAATTATAGATTTAATGAAAAAGTAATATTAATTTTGCTTCATATTTTTTATCTTTTCATTTCAATGTACATTGATAATTTTACTACAGTTAATGTTAGAGTTGAGGAAATAAGATATAAAATATAAAATTTTATCCCCAAAATTCATTTTATATCCATTTTGGAGGTCATGTAAATGAAATATGAAAAAAAATTCTTGTTCTTAACATGAAAATTACCTTTCACTCAGACTGACTCAAAAAAGGCTTTGTAAAATCATAAGCAAATTGTTAGTAGAATTACTTCATTAATAAATCTAGGTTTTTCTGTAAAATAGTAATGTAATGTTTACTGAAAGCTTGCCAAATTTTGTGAATACACACTGAGTAAATTCAGAGTTCTAGTATATGTGTGTGTGTGTGTATATATATATATATATATATATATATATATACTATAATACTAGTATTATGTATATAGTATAAACTTAACTACTAAACGTT